ATATTGCGGCGCTGCGTGTGGGCAAATACCTAAGTCACTGATGACTCTGTATTTGGTGCGATGACTGCGCGCTCTGTGATAGGCATTTTATATTGCGCGGACTAATACGGCTAATTAGCCATATTATAAATTACTAGCTTTCCGCCCGCGGCTTCGCGCGCGTGGACTACATTATCTAAATATTTTACAGAACCCTATTTTTTTCCAAAATAAAATTTAGCCTATTTTACTCGTGGATAATGTAGCTTTCGAACGGTAAAAGAATTTTTAAAAACGGTCAATTAGTTTTTGAGACTATTCATTACAACCAAACAAACAAAGTTTTCCTCTTTATAATATTAGTGTAGATAAGATTTTTAATTGCTGTGTAGGAATATAACATTTAGGTTTTTTTTTTAAATAAGCGACAAATAAAAAAATCTTACACCCCTCCCTCACAAATATAAACACTTTCCTACATTACGTAACTTTCTTTGGAATACATACATCTAGTCTATACTTATAATAAATCTGTAGAGAGGTCAATTCTGTACATGAAATATATTTTCAAAATAACTATCAGGGGGTGATTAGTGATCGATACTGATGCCAGAAATGGAATCAGTAAAATTTTTGTCTGTCTGTCTGTCTGTCTGTCTGTATGTTCCTTATAGAAACAAAAACTACTCGACGGATTTTAACGAAACTTGGTACAATCATTCTTCATACTCCTGGGCAGGTTATAGGATACTTAGGAATTCCCACGGGAATGGGAGTTAGCGGGAAAATCCTTTTATATGAAAAATCTAAACCGCTTAAGTTAGACGCTTGAAATTTGGCATGCAGGTACTTTAGTAAACTTAAAGCTTAGTTACAACAGGATATTGCAAAATTCCCACGGGAACGGGAGTTAGCGGGAAAAAACATTTGTATGAAAAAATCTAAACCGCGTAAGATAGATGAAGGGGGTAAAACGGGATCCACGCGTACGAAGTCGCGGGCGGCCGCTAGTACATAAATAAATATTAAACCTCTTGGTTTGGATGATCTTCAGGCCTCCGTCATTGGCACATGTTTACCAATAAACAGACTTCGTGATTCTGTCTGCGCGATTTCTATTTATGTTTATCAAAAAAAAATAAGTAACCAAGTGGAGATACCACTGTCTGGCTAAATGGCTACGGCTATTACTACATTTTTAACCTAACCCACCCAAAACATAATAAAGTCTTTACTCATGTACTCATAGCACAAGCTTTGCTCAAATTGCTGGATGTTCTCTGGATCATGTAGGATGGGCCGGGAGTCTGGGCGGGCTGGGAGACGCCTCCGACACAAATTTATTATCCGGATTATGTACCTCTTGGTTAGCTTTCGTTTATTTGCGACGTCTGGAGCACAAATAATTATTAAACGTTAATGTGAACTTTATTTAGTTTTTACGTTTAAACGTTTGCTTGAATTTTCAAAGATATTCTTTTGTTTTTGTATTATACTCGTAGGTACTTACTTAACGCACTTTATCCTAAATGCATCAGCAAGTGGGACATACTCGTATCACAAAGATAAAAGCTAGGAGATTTGATGAGAGCTTAATAAGTTCGCAGTATTGACGAGTTTCAGTGGCAGTGGGCGGGGCACATAGCTCGTAGAGACGATGGCCGTTGGGGCAGGAAAGTTCTCGAGTGGCGACCACGGGCTGGAAGACGACGTAGCGTGGGCAGGCCTCCTCCTAGGTGGACCGACGATCTGGTAAAGGTCGCGGGAAGAGCCTGGATACGGGCAGCGTAGGACCGTTCATTATGTCAAACCTTGGGGGAGGCCTTTGTCCAGCAGTGGACGTCATTGGGCTGAAACGAACGATTGACGAGTTTACAGTTGAATGAACTTGACAAATAGGATACAGAGAAAACACATTTTGATGCTTCATGTGAAAGTATCTTAACCAGTATGTCGTAAATAAAATGAGAATTAAATTTAAGATTATGTGGCTAATCCATCCTTTCTGAAATTACGGATTTGCAAATTCATATTTGGTAAAACCAGTTCCTTTGGATTACATTACGCGCGATTAACTCTTTATGTGACAGATATAAATTAGGAAAACTAGTTAATAAATTGAGTACCTATAAAGTAAGGTGTTGTTATTATTTCAAAATCTACTTAGACCTAATAAACATGCAAATATTTAAAAGCTTTGGGCTTATTTTAGATCAATTAGACGAAACTACATTATAAAACATAAGTCATAAAACACCTGTATATTTATAATAGACTAACGGCCGCCCGCGACTTCGTATGCGTGGATCCGTTTTACCCCCTTAGGGGTGGAGTTTCGTAAAATCCTTTCTTAGCGGATGCCTACGTCATAACATCTACCTGCATGCCAAAGTTCAGCCCAATCCGTCAAGTGGTTTGGACTGTGCGTTGATAGATCATTATGTCAGTCAGTCAGTCATATCCACAATCACCGTTCAAAGTACACACTATACAGCCACTGTTTCACAATATGTGACGTTAATCCTTCCTCGTACAGGCGCCTCCCGATAGCGCGTGAAATCAGATATTAGTGGGACTCTCGTTATCTATGGCGATAACAGTTACGTAGGCGAATACCGTGGCACATTCCAAGCTACATCAGCTGGCTCTACGCAAATAAGTCGGACAAATACCTACTTGGTAGACACTGAAATGTAATAATAATAATAACAAGACCTGGTGAAGTTGCTAAAAACCACACAGGTATTTAGCAACGCCATCAGGATGGAGTTTGGTGTAGACAAGTGTGCGGTCTTACATGTAGAGCGGGGAAAAGTTGTGAATTCCCCGAATTTACAACTTTCTGAGACAATGACACTCAAATCTCTCTCCGAAACTGAGACCTATAAGTATCTTGGTATGTCAGAATCGTTAGGTATATCTGTAGAAGACATCAAAAAATCGGTGAAAGAACGCTTTTGTAGCCGACTGACAAAAGTCCTTAATAGTCTTTTGTCTGGCGGCAACAAAGTAAGAGCTTTCAACGGTTGGGTGATGCCTCTATTGATATACTCCTTCGGCATACTAAGATGGACTCAGACTGAACTTGACGCCCTGGATAGGAAGGTACGTCAGCAGCTCACACAACATCGCATGTTACATCCGCGTTCATCTGTGATGAGACTGTACATTCCACGGAAGTGGGGTGGTCGAGGCTTTTTAAATGCCAAGAACCTCCACAACCGTGAAGTGTGCAGTCTCAGGGATTATTTCCTTGCCAATGAGTGCGGAATGCATCGCGATGTTGTGGCAGTTGACAAAGGCCTCACGCCGCTCTCCTTGGCGAACGAGAACTGGCGCAAGCCAAAGGTCCTGAGCGTCGCGGATCGGAAGGACGTATGGAAGAGCAAGGAGCTGCACGGGAGGTTCTATCGGGCCCTTACAGGTCCTGATGTAGACCTCCTCGCCTCGGTGAACAAAATTCTACGAGTATAATCAAACTCCCGTGTGGTGACGGCAGAGTAGAATACATATGTCACCAACCCCTACTCTTCCCGCGGGTGTCGTAAGAGGCGACTTAGGGACTACACATCAAACAGAGAATGGGCAGCAGCGCTCTCTGAAAAACATCAATCTTTTAAACTGCGATCTCCAACCCGCCTGCCTAGCGTGGGGATTATGGCAAAACCCTCCACTATAGTGGAGGAGGCTCATAGTCCAGCAGTGGACTGTAAAGGGCTGTTGATGATGATGATGAATCAAACTCCCCGGTTTTCATTTTACTTTTGATACGCATCACAATGGGCCTCATAAGAAGGCTCAAGGTCACCCGAAGGGCGATGGAGAGGGCTATGCTCGGAGTTTCCCTGCGTGATCGAATCAGAAATGAGGAGATCCGCAGGAGAACCAAAGTAACCGACATAGCTCGCAGAATTGCTAAAATCAAGTGGCAGTGGGCGGGGCACATAGCTCGTAGAGACGATGGCCGTTGGGGCAGAAAAGTTCTCGAGTGGCGACCACGGGCTGGAAGACGTAGCGTGGGCAGGCCTCCTACTAGGTGGACCGACGATCTGGTAAAGGTCGCGGGAAGAGCCTGGATGCGGGCAGCGCAGGACCGTTCATTGTAGAAAACCTTGAGGGAGGCCTTTGTCCAGCAGTGGACGTCATTTGGCTGAGACGAACGAACGCATCACAAAATTTCATAAATTGCTCTCTCTCTCTTACATAGGTAGGTACCTAAAATGTTTCTTGAGAAAAATACAGGTACCTATATCAGAACATAAGATACGCATAGGTATTCTTAGTTAAGTTGAATGCAAAATATGGCGACCTGAATGCTAATACTCTGACGTCATGGCTATGAATAAATTAAAATATATTCTTGTGCAGACTCCACGAGCAGTCCTTGAAGGGTCGATCTGGATAACGTATTCAAATGGGAATATAATTTTCATATCACAAACATCCGGACGGATGTATTCATGGTCTACCCGCAATCCGCATACATTTTCATGAAAATTTGTCCATGTTTACTTGTACTATAATTCTTATGGGTATACGCTTTGATACGCTATCTATGTGGGTCTAATGTAGTATTTCTCAATGATTTTGTATATTAGATTCTACGAAATTATGTCAGAGGCTTATAAAATTCAAAATTTTATAAGGACAGTACTGTAATACTTGTCATGTATGTATGTGTTATGAACAACTAACTAACATTAGATACGAGTACGTAACTATTCATTTATTCATTATTTCTTTAAATGACAAAAAATGGTTTCAAATGCAAACTATTTTTGGTGTTTGATGTAAAATCCACGAACTCCATAAAACCGTATGAGCTTAATCAACAATCAGTCGCCTGACGAAAATGTAGAGTCCACGAAAACCTAAACCAAGGAAGTTAAAAGTTATTACAATAGGTACTATGACATCACAGTCCTACCATAGACCTAGCAATGAAGCCATTGCTGAAGTGAAAACAATTTCACGGTTTCGGCTCGCACCTCGCTCGCAGGCAAGGCAGTGTGAAACCGTATTCCGTGGGGGGCAGTCGCGTCGATTTCTCCGCGACCGCGCGCACCGGCGAAACTTTTATCAATTAAAACTATCGCAAAACTACACCAAAACATTCACAAACTACAAATTAAGAACCAACTTGTTTAACTGTGGTACTGACTAGTGTGATTTGTGCCAGTGTGCGATTGCCGGCCACGTGATTTCAGGTAAATATGCCACTCGCAATTTATCACGGCAGAAGTTGGAATATCACGAATTTGTGGATCGCGAAAGCTCTTTTGTTTGTTGATATGTTTATACCGTTACTAGATTTAAATAAACATCTATTTAAGTATGGATTTAGTTTCAAACAGGAAAGCTTTGGCATGTTGATGTTTAAGTAACAGGACATAATGGTTTGGTTTGGTGGTATTCTGTGTATGTAAATAAAATAAAACAAAATCTTCTTAATTTAATCAGATTTGCAATTTAAATTGAAGGATCAAAATATTTATGGGATTAAAGGCGGGAGATTCGCTCGTTTGCGGTTTTTTATTGCTTAGATTTGTATATTTTATCAGAAATAAAGTTTGACAAGAAACCAGAGATTAGTAAAATAAAACGTAGCAGATTCAAGTCATAGAGTCTTTTTTGATGTGAATTCCCACCACTTAACTACCTGTACCTACCTAATGTAGAGATCAATACCTCAAAATTAAGAGGTATGGATACCTTTTAGAAAAACACTGCATCATCCAGTTTCATTAATATCGGGACTGCAGGGTTTTCGCCACAAACCAGAACCAAAAAGATTTATTTACTCACCTCTGGTTAGAGGAGGTCAACCTTTTCTTGCTCTACACTAGCCACACATACCAGATACAGAAACCCATTCCATGTTGGATACCGAAGATCATAAGTACCTGAGCCAAGAGCAGAACGGTGAAAGGTCCTTCTCAGTATCCGAGAAACCGAGGGCACTTCCTCACTGACCGTGGCCAAGCTAAGGTTTAAAAGATATATGTACTACTTGGACTACCAAATACTCTCTCAATACACAATAATTTATTGCTTCACCATACTAGCGTTTAGGTCTTACAATTCAAGCAGATCAATGTGGACCCAGTTAGGGCACAGCAACCTTTACTACTCTACTCTACTTTAATACATCGATAAGTATAATACATATAATTTTCCAAAAAAATATGCTTAATAATTTAATTAGCATAATTAATTGGCAGACAAGGTTGGCATGTAGTCAGCTAAAGTTTCATTTCGGGAGTTCTTTAAAAGGTTATAGTTAAGCCATTAATAATGCCATTGAGTAGTTTAACTGCAAATTTTCCCATTAATATGAAATCAATTAGCATAAATGTTTATTAATAAATGTATAGATAGCGGAAATGTTATTTGAAAACTAATCAGCATTCAAAATCTTTTAATAACCTTTTAAAATGGTATAGAAGTTAGCAACATACAATACAACTCATACGCAGAATTTTTGCGTGTAATGCACATTAACGTGTGTTGTAGGAACAACACATCAAATTGCTTACTAATAATTACTATTATTGTTATATGTTACACCTACATATTTTGATAACATTGTTATCAGCTGTGAAGCAATAAGATCGTGACGCAATCATAATAAAACTTATCAGATACCTGAAAATATGAGATTTTGTTAAACATTTGGGGCGATATTGGCGTTGCTATGCCAAATTACGTCCAACATTCGAATATTCGAATACCAACCCTTCGGAGAAGTCGTTTTATTTTTCTCGAGCGTAAATCACGGAGGCATGGCGTTTTATTTGGATTCCTATTGGATACTGGGAATCGCGACGTCTCTCCTCTGATAGAGATAAGTCATTTCGACTGTAAACCCCTTCGAGATTAAAACTTCTGATGAGAAAAGCAATAAGTTTTATGCAAACATACTTAGGCTGGGTTGCACCATCTCATTGTAACTTTACCAAACGTCAAAAATGTGTCAAACCCCATACAAAAAAGACCGGTTATCGTTATAGTCACGGTTAAAGTTAGGTGGTGCATCTCAGCCTTAGATAATTATCTTTATAAGTCGCGTAATTCTGGGCGTACTCGTAAATGACAGAAAACGCTTTTTTGTTATAATATTAATTATTGAAGCTGCACGCACCTGAAAATTTAAAACAGAACAATCTACTTTCACTGTCGTAATTATTATAAACTGTATGATTAAAATTATGTGACTCTGTAGATTGTAAATCAAACCATATTATAGAAACATTATTACTTAGTAGAAAATGTATGTAAAATTACCTATACCGGGCTACTTTTATCATATTTCTAAGTATTATCATAGGTACTATCCAGTTGGTTAATCTTAGAATTTTGTAAAAAATATCATCTGAGCAGAAAAAGTGGACCTGAAGCAAGCTATTCCCATTTTCTGGTTATAATCTTTGAATTTTGTAACTTATATAAACTGAGCATAAAAAGCCGGCCTTTAAAGTAGCAAGCTATATGTATTTTTTTTAAAAAAAGCTAATATATAAGACGTTTTGGCTATAGATTCATCATCGTTGGCACCGACGCAAGAATGCATTGCAGATGTGCACGACACACGCAATTGCTCTAACATTATTTAACATTTGTTTTACATAATTTACGGCGTTTTGTCATCATTATACTGAGTGCACGAATTGGACTGGGCACTGATGCTGGTATACAGCACTTACTGTCAAAGCAAAGTCTGAATAATGAAAAATGCTGACCCTACTTGTTGAAAATCACATCTCTATATTTAACTACTCAGCTAGTATAGGAATATTTCCAAGAAAACTACATTATGATGCAATGACAGTGCTCAGCACCTTTCAGTTTCAAATTCAAACTCAAACAAACTCCTAAAATGCATGTCCAAATGTCCATTAACCAATGAATTCATTTCAGTAAATAATGATAGTAGAGTAGGCCTATCTTATTAATTAATTTAATAACATTCTGTCACCAAAACAATGAGAAAACTGAAAAGCAATTAACTCAGGAATTATTAGTACAGCTTTAAATTATGTTACGTGTTCTTTCAATAGCAAATATTCCGCGGTCTCAGAACATTAAATGATTATTATCTCGCATCACGCTAGTGCCATAAATCTTTGATATCTTTTTCCAGAGCCAACTAAACGAGGAAGAATTAATTGTTTTTTCGTACTGAACATAGTTAACATTGTGAAGTCTAAATACTCTCAATTACTTACAATTACTTAATGGACAAACACTATTTCCGACTAAACTTTTTCTTGGCACTTGAAGATAATTTCGAATTTAGGCAATGCTCCATTGAAAAAAACCTTATGAAAATCTTTAGAACATAAAATGGACTTAATATTTACCTTCGAAGTAGGAAAATGCAAATCATGGATGTCTATAATGGGCGACGGTAATCACTTACCATAAGGTGATCCGTTTGCTCGTTTGCCTCCTATCACATAAAAAAAAAAAAATATTAAGTGTTTTTGGAAAAAAGATAAGCTACGGACTAGTAGGTACCTACATTATTAAATATATTTTTTTTAATATAAGATTAGTAGAACGAGCCTTATTTTCAATGCTCTTGTTTCATGCACCATTTCAATTAAATCACTGTGAAAGCATCAAACGAAAAACCTTGAACAGTACATTATTATTCTGTGCCTCAACTTTATAAACCCGTCCAATATAACATTTCGCACAACCGTTCCTTGTGCCCTTAAGTAAGCTCTCAAGTAATTTGATGGCGCGGTATTGTTTAGTCTACCGATGCGGAGTAACAGTCAACCGGGATCGGTTTCAAGAGCGGAATCCGACACTACTGTAATGTAAACAAGCGCAATGTATTATATTGTCGTTACAAGAACATTTAGGTCTGGAATGTTGAGCGGGAATATTTGTAAACAATTACTTTGCATGAGAACCCAGCTGCATGTTAAACTAATCCAGCTTTCATATACGTTGTTTTTTGATGACGTCAATAATTAAAATAGTTTTATTTTTTAATCCACAACGAGGAAGATCTTGACCTACTTACATCTTGCCTGATGGAAAATGATGATCAAGCCGAAGGTGGAAGCGGGCTTTACTCGGAGTTCTCCATCACGGAGAAACTAGCAGTTTAAAGCGATCATGTGCCATACGTCTAGAATGGAATGGTTAGATGGCTAGCTAAATAGCTAATTCATTCATCGAGTTCATCGTGGCCTAAACTTGAAAGACTTGAGAAACGTTTTAAACTCTTTTCTGTCTGTTCCATCCGAATAAGGAATTTCAGACTGTGGTCCCATTGAGACGGGACTTACAATGACTGATAGCTGATACAAAATCTGTAAATCTATACAAGAGAAATAGTAAGACACGGGTCTTAACGCGACGTTTATTAATGAATTACATTATGTACTCACGGCTTGACGTTTCGGCTGCGTTGCTTACCATTTTGAAATGGAACGCGAAAGTTTAAAATCTTATAAGTACAGGGTGGAAACGATAAGTGATCTCACTCTATTATTTCTAAACTACACAAGATATCGAAAAACTGGTTACTCATCCTGAAAGTGCTTCACGAGCTCTTTCTAACGGTATCAATAAATAGTTACAGAATTAACTGGATCTATCCGAAAATTCAATGTTTTCAGCCTCCATACTAAACGTATGCCACACAATATTAAAAGTGTTATTTTTTTTAACTAAATAATAAACACTTAAAATGAACTCGTAAATTGCATTCTTATTTAAAATTATCCTGCTTTCGCCTCCGAGATTTATTTTACCATGTAGTACCCCTGTACGACAACCCAATCCGCACACAATATTCAGCGTAGTAGTATTAAAAAACAAAAGAGCGGGCAACCCCACCCCTACCACGCTGTGGGCTCGGTGTCCGAGCGGTCTCATTCCTTTCTTGTATTGGAAAAACATTATTATGTAGGTTTGTACCTACTAATCAATGTATGATTAATGCTAATAATACTATTGATAGTCTTACAAAGTAAGGCTTCATCATCATTATTATTATTTATTTATTGAATGATCAAACGAACTTACCAAGTGAAGTTCGATCTAAATTATCCTGTTTTCGCCGAAGAGATTTAAGGTCCCTCCCAACCCGAAGATTTCTATATCTTCTTCCCTGGAGGTAAACGTCAATGTCATCTCTTCTCTAAATATAATGAGACCGCTCGGACACCGAGCCCACAGCGTGGTAGGG